AATCACTTAATTCTAAGAGCTCCTGCTTCTTTCTTTGTAAAATGTGGATATTTCATTTAATGTTACCCTATTTATTTTCTGCAAATTGATAGATAGATCCAGAAGCTTGATCAGACTAACGTTCCATATCTTTTTGTCAAGACTACTTCATAGGTAGTCTTATATGCATCTACGAGGAGGTACATCATGCCTAGGTGTCTCCCTTTTTGTAACGCTGGGGCCATCAATGATCATTGCCTAGATCTGTGAATTTATTCAGGGAGGCAAACTATATCACCACTGGTGCAATCTATCGGAAACTGCAATTATGATGATCTTGAAAACAAAACTGTGGCTTTATTAGCTGAAATATTTCTATGAAGAGAAAGACCCTTCATCAGTCATTTAGTTACCTGCCTGTACTTATATCATCAATGCTTCTCCAAGTTTTAAGGTTGTCTGAGGCTTATTCTCTATTAAATTCTTCAGGAAGAGCTCAGAGGAATAGCATTCCTATTTTCTGACACATTCACAATAATTTGTCTGCTCATTTATACTTGAACATCACTTTGTCTGGTTATAAATTTCATGGCTCACATTTTCTTTCCATGATTACGTTAAATGTGATCCTCCATTTCTTTTTTTTGGCATAAAGCAGTGCTGTCAAAAACAGTCCCATGAGAATCTAATTTTCTTTCTCATATAGTGATAAAGTTGTTTTGCCTGGATGCCCATAGTTTTTTTTCCTTTCATAAAAGACCATACTTTACTATACTATGTCTCAGTGATGATTTGGGATGATGTTACAAGGAACAAAGTGGCCCTTTCAATAGCTTCAAGGACTCTTATTTCAATAACATTTTCTTATAGCTTTTATTATATTTTTTCCATTTAACTTCAATTTCTTCTTATAGGACTCCTATTATACATATTTGGTTCTCTTTTAGATAGTGTCTACACAACTCTTCCAAACATATTTTTCATTGCTACATTTTTCTTCGATTATTAAAATGTTCCATCTCCTCTACTTTTCTTGAAGTATTAACAATTGCGTTTGCTTGCGCTTGCACTTTTTCTAGTTTACTCTTAATTTCTAAAATCATTGTTTTAGTTCTACTTTTTTCTTGAATTCTGCCATCTTTTTTTTCAAATCTTCATTTCAGAGTTTCTCTAATACTGATGCATAATGCTCTTTCATACCTCCTATCATGTTCTTAATATTTTTGTCTTGTTTTAACATGTCAGGTTATAGTTTTCAACTCTGGCTTTGAAGAGGTAAGGTGCCATGTTGTTAGGGGGCCACGTGGCTTGGATTTGAAAGTGGTCTTGAGCTGAGATCGACGTCTAGCCAAGAGCCAGCAAAAAATAGGGATCTTCATCCTACAACTACAAAGAAGTGAATTCTGTGAAGACTGAATGAGCTTTGGAAAAGATCCTGAGCTCCAGGTGAGAACACCTGGCTGACACCTTGATTTCAGCCTACGGAGAGACCTTGAGCAGAGGACCCAGTTATGCTGTGCCCCCAACTTCTGACCTGCAAAGCTGCGACATAGTAAAGATGTGCTGTTTTAAGCCACTAAGTTGGGGGGTAATGTATTACCCATACCAGTACCTTCTCTTTGTAGCTTTCTTATCTTCCCATGAGGGTAGCCACTCCCTCCTTTGGCACTCCAGGGCCCTTCACACCAACTTTCCTGGGGTGCTCACTGTATTGTGCAGCCGCCCCATTCCCTGGGGGTGTGGTAATCAGCAGGTAGGAACAACATCAGGTCCACTGCCCACAACACTTGATACAGGGTCTGGTGTGTATGAGCTGTTCTGTAATTGGTTGTAAATGAATGAAGAGGCATCCTGTGTGGTATGCCTATAAACTCCTATTGTATTGGGGGAACTTGTGGGGCCTGGGTTGTGGGAAGGTGCTTCCAAGAGCAGTTTGTGGTAAATTTCAGCATAGGACCTCAGGACAGTCAGGAGCCCAGAACTAATTTGATGTTAATTTTCAATGTGGGGCCTCCTATACCATAAGGATTATAGTAATTCACTCTCCAAACTCAGGTGAGGTTTCCCCCACTCCTAAGCCATTTCTCCCCATTTTGGTGCCTTCTCAAACCATCATTTCTTTGCCTTTCCATACCAGTGGAGGCAGACAGGCCTCAGAAACACAGCTCTGCTACTCACTAGCTGGGGATCCATTATTTCACTCCTCTGAACATGTTTCCTTGTCTATAAAGTGGGGGAAATAATTCTTACCGCGAGCAGAACTGTTGTAAGGACTGCATGAGAGAGAGACGTATTCTGTCCTTTGGAAGGTAAGCTCCACAAAGGTCACAGGCCTGTCCTTTTGGTTCAAGGCTGTGTTCCCAGTATGCCCGGCACACAGTAAATGCTCAGTAAATTTGCAGAATGAAGTTTATGGAAAGAATTCTGCACAGTGCTTGGAAGATAGTAAGCGTTCCACAAATGGCAGTTTTTATTATGGCCATTTTGCAAAGGAAGAAGCTCACCTGGGGATGTCTACCCAGGTGTTCCATTCTGATTTAAATTCCACAGATTTCCCCAATTTATCACTTAATCTTTAATAAGGTAGCCAGACGCAAGGGTCATTCTAACCTCTTTCAAAGCTCCTACTGACAAATGGACCCAAGAAAACTGACCCTCGCAAGCATTTACGGGGGGGCCAGGATTCCAACAAAACCAGGAAGGACCAAATTCCTAAAGCAAACAAACTCGACTCATTCCCCATCCTGGGGGAGGGTGTTCACCCCGGTTCAACTAAAGATAGAGCGCGGGCCCTCCCCGGGAACTTCCTGGCTTTTATTAGTTTGTAATCCCAAACGTAGCTTTTCAAAGGTTTTTCTTTTGGAAGTGTGGGTGTGAAACTGCTTCCCTAATCACATCTTGCGGGAGGATCTCCGAACATCTGTGTATTATTTGAAAACCTAGCATCCGGTTGGGATGTTTGGGTGGGTGGGGGACCCTGTGTGGTAGGATGAAACAGCAGGGGCACGTTCAAAACACGTCAAGTTGTCTTTTAAACAGAGGCAGAAAAATTAGGCAAAAATTACAAATGGCTAATTACCTTGGCTCAATTACACGTTTAATCAAAGCCCGCCTCCCCCACTCTTAGCACCAGCGTACCAGTGGAAAATAGGGCGCTTAGAAGTCTAAGCGATAAAGATCTTCTCACCAAGAGCCAAGGGACAAAACTCATTACAGATAAGCCCAGTCCTCCCATTTCCCCCGGACGCCTCTCCCCGATTGCTAAAGAGGCCGCCGTTCCCCGGGTGGCTGCCAGGAAATCGCTCCTGCCCCGCGGCGCAGCTTTCACCCAGCCAGGGGTTAGAGGTGCACTTCCTGCGCCCTCCCCACCACCAGGCCCGAGTGCGGGAAGCTTCCCTCCTCCCGTGCAGCTGCGAGTTGGGAAAACTCCGCCACCAATTCATCGTGGCTCGGAGGAAGGGGGTGTGGGGCTCGGCAAGGCTGGATTTTGCAAGCCTAGGATCGATAATCCTCTCCTCGTCCCCTCTCCCCAGCCGTGGACTCGGCCACTGGAAGTCCGAAAAGAAAAAAAAAAATTAAATCCCGACGCAGCCCGAGTGCAAAGGCCGCTTGGCTTTGTTTCCAGGCGGGGGAATGCGCCTGGCCGGGGGCGCGAGCAGGGAGTGAGCAGGGCGCGCCCCGCCGCGGCGCTGCCCCGGCGATGAAGCCGAGTTGGAAACCCCATCGCCCTAAAAAGGCAGCCGGCCGTCCCCCTCCTCTTCTCCGACCCGACCCAGAGCTCCCCAACCCTCCCTAAGTCCCGGACCCGCGAGCAACGCGGACGGGGGAGACCTCGCCAAGCCCGCGAAAAGCGCGGAGTCTTCAACAGCTCGCAGAACGGGAATCTGGCAAAGACCTGCCGGCCCCCCAAGGCAGCCGCTCTCCTCCCTCTTTCCGAGACCGCGCCAGCGCAGCCCCCAGCCCCGCAACTGCACCAGCCGAGCCTGCAGTCCCCGGGGCCGCGCGTGGGGAGTATTGGGCTGTGGGACCCCTTGGCTGCGGGAGCTGAGCGCGGCTGCTTTAAGAGCGCGGAGCGCGGAGCGCGCGCGCCCGCCGCCGGCAGCCCGGCTGCGCGCCCTCGCCCTCGGCGCCGCGCGCTCCTGCTCGCGCGCCGCCGCCGCGCGCCCCCTGCTCGCTCGCCGGCTTTAAAGTCTCTGCCAGGATCCATGCTCACATGTTACTTCCTGTATGGAGGCATGGCCAGTTTCCAGACCCGCGCTCCCCGTTCCTCCCCTGCCTGCGCCGGAGCCACAACTTTCAGGAGCATGGACTGAAGGCGCCCTCGCCCCAGCGCCCCTCTGAGATCCTTTGTGTTTTCCTGCGTTTCCTCTGGCCGTTTCTATTTTGGGGGGCTCTTCGCTCCCCCCGCCTCTCCCCTCCCCTTCCCCGCTCGCAAACATGCCTCCTTCCTTCCCGGGGCCCTGGAAGGAGCTGCCTGCCTGAAGCTCCGAGACGCCGCGCCGCGCTCAGCCCCGCCGCCGCCCGCCGGCTCTCGGGCTGCGCTGCGCTGCCGACTCAAGTTGGGGATCCTCGGCTGCTCGCCGCCGCCGCCGGCGGTCCCTGCCTGCCCCGGGCCCCGGACATCGCCGTCGCCCGCCGACTCTTCGCCCTGGCCGCTCAGCTCGCTCCTTTTTGAAAGGAAAGCAGCCCTTCTACGCTGAGGATCGTCCCCAGTGTGGCTCTGTGTTCTCGGTCACTTTTTGAGATTTTTCCTGGGGGCGCTCGGCGGCTTCCCGGATTCCAGGGGGAATCGGGCCGCCGAGCGCGGGGGGCCCGTAGAACCGGCGAACAGGGGAAGAGCCCAGGCTTAGCGGAGCTTCACACGGAGGCAAGAACTTATTCAACAAGTTTACCCCCCCTGCCTTCCTCTTTCGATGTGCGTTTTCGGACATGCGGAGGTTACTGGAACCGTGTTGGTGGATTTTGTTCCTGAAAATCACCAGTTCCGTGCTCCATTATGTCGTGTGCTTCCCCGGTGAGTGCCGGCCGCCGGGGGGACGCGGCCCTGGCCGGCGCGCGCGGGGGATGCGGAGTTGTCGCCGGAGCACGGAGCTCGGGCGCCCGTCCCGGGGACCCTGGAGAAGGTGGAGGGGGGGCCGGGCGCCCGGGGAGGAGAGAGGGATTCGCTTTGCTGGTTCTGGCGGCATTTAAGGAGGCTGGTGGTTGGGGAGGGTGGAAACGGGCTGACCGGGAGGGGGGACAGGGGCCGCAGGAGTCTGCTCTTGCCCGGGCTTGGGGGTTCTGGGGGAGCCAGAGTCTGGAGCAAAGGGGACTCGCTCTGCTGATCTGCCGCCGTTCGGAAGAGCTAGATCTCTGGGGCGGTTGGGGACACTGGGGCCATGGGGAGGACACGTCTGTGGATTTAGGGGACCCACTGTGCGCGTCTCAGGCGGGGATCGAAGGAGATCAGAAGGGGCGACTTCCTTTGCTGCTCCCCGACCCTTTGGAGAAGCTAGTGTTAGGGGGATGAAAGCTGGAGGTTGGCCATAGAGGACTGGGGATGTTGGGATCAGCCTGTGTTCTAGTCTCGGGGGCCAGGTGCTAACCCCGGTCGCGGCTGGGGTGCAGGCTGCGCTTGGGTGCCCCCGGGAGGCAGCCTTCCTGGGCGCGGGGGCCTGGGCGCGGTGGGAGGGCAGGGAGCGGGCGGTTTAGGGAGATCCGTGGCTCCCCCAACCCCGGTCCTGCGGCCCCTTTACCCCGCAGCTGTGCTTGTTGGGGCTGCTTGGGTCGGTGCGCGGGGGAGGCGGGGAGGATGTAGTAGGGGGACGGGTCGGCGGCTGGGCTGCTGTTCACGCCGGGGGGGATATTTTCCTGTCTCGCGCGCCCTCCCTATCTTCATCTTCGCCTTTTTGCAGGCTGTTCGCGGCTGGCAGACCCAGACCCGCGCCTTTCTGGCAGGGTTAAGACGGGAACAGTATTGGCTATTGATGAAGATAGTAAATCGCCGCACGTAGAGGTGTGCGGCTCGGCGACCCTCCACTTCCAGCTTTCGACCAACAGACCTCCCCCCCCCCCCTTCTCTCTCCCTTCGATGAGGGCAGGGGCCAGCCTCCTCCCTTTCCCCTCTTGCAGACCCCCCGGGCTGAGCCCCGAGCTCCCTTGAATCTGTCCAGCCTCCTCCCCGGGGTTGGAGGCCACGTCCTCTGCCTTAGCCGAGGAAGGGATGGGAAGAAGGAGGCGATGCGCTTTTCATCCCTTGTTCTCGTAAGGATAGCGAACCCCACGTTTTTCTGCTCTCTCATCCACCCGCTCCTGGATACCCGGAGGTGGGGGTAATCTGAACCAAGAAAAAAACGTGTCCCGATGTTTCTGCTTCCCCTGGTCACAGCCTCCTGTCCCCAGGTGGCCCAAGCGCACGGTTTTGGTGCAGTGGGTCCCCTAGCTCTGTCGTGCGCCCTGGAGCAGGACGCGGACGCTCTCGCTGCCCTCCGGGACCCGCTGGGGGACTGGCAGCCAGTGTCCCCTTTGCAGGCACGGAGGTGGCCTCGAGGGGAAGAGAGGCAAAGCACCGTTTTTTCCGGCACCCCGTTTTCCCTCTGCGCATCCTCCTCATCTCCTGTCCCTGGAACTGCACAGAGCTCCTGCCACAGCCCAGAAACCCAGCTCGGGTGCCGAGCTAGGACGTGCGTCCACACTCACCCTGAGGCCTGGGGTTTGCCCACCAGGATCCTGCCTCCACAGGGCTGGGGGCGATGTGGACATTTCCCCTTAAAAATGCCCCCACCTCCTTAAAAAGACCACTGCTTAGTATTTGTGTTAGTCATCTGCCCCTTCTAGACTTTCTTTTTTGCCGTTTACTTGCTGGCTGAGTGGGCTCAGGTGCACGCTGGGGTCGAGCTTTGTAAGGGTCACGCTTTAATGGGGGCAATGGGAGGCAGCAGGACAGCAGCCTTGCGAAATAAGAGGAATTTCTAATTCCACTTCTGGCCTTATCCTTACGCTCGGGCAGTCAGTGGACCGGCCGTGATTTTCTTTTTCCTGGTGTCTGAGGAAGCTTGAAATCCAAAATGGGACCTCTAGTGATGCCGCCTTCGTGGGGCTTGGACAATTTTCGTCTTCCACGTTTTCTTTTCATGCCTACGTTGCGAGGTAAATAGCCCATTCCCTTGTCCGGGAGCCGAAGGGTGTCGGAAAGGGAAGGGACCATGGTGTGAGGCGCGGGAAACAGTGGTTGTGGTTTGGAAAAGTGCCGCTGGTGAGGGTGCAGCAGCCTTTGGAACCAGGCAAAGTTGAAATGTCAGAGTCGTGGGAGATGCCGGCTTTTCGTTTTCCGAAGGTGCCGTGACGCCGCTGGACCTCAGGGGGCGCCCCCGAGCCACTAGTTGGGCTCCTGCCACCTCCTCTTGTCCGGCTCGGCCACCTCCAGGCCGTGGGGCCGCGGTGGGAGAGGGGATGGGGCGCAGGCGGCCGGCTTCCGAGGCTGGGGGGCTGCGGCTGCTCCTTGGTTTCAGCTCCGCGCTGCTGCTGCTTCTCCTGGCCCGCTCTAAACCGGGTGTGGGCCCGAGTTCGGTTTGGGACCCCCGTTTTGCCTATCATAATATCTTTTGGTTTTGGTTTATCTGGTTGACAAAAGGGATAAAAATGCTTCTGATATTGTATTAGGGTCCTGCCTGTGAGGTTTTAACTCAAATCCCTTGTTTGTTATTTTGTTTCCTCTCGGAATCGCACCAACTTTTCAGTTGCATTTGAGTTCTCAGCTGCTGTTCAGGATACAGGGTAGCTGTAATTTGGGAGGGTTTTGGAACCATAGCCCTGGCATGGGTCTTTTCCCAGCGGATCGGAAAACAGTGGCTTTTAGTCTCTCAGCGACAGTATGGCAGGTGTGGGACTCAAGAGAGACACGGTTAGTGTTTCCAGTGATGTTTCCACTTTCGGAGCAGAAGTGTTATCAAACGTGATACAGTGCATACTACGTTCTTTCCCTGCATCATTAAAAAATACTCTATTTTGGAAAAATTTATGAAAATAGAAAAATGTAATGGACCTGCCTGGACCCTTCACCCAGCTACCACCATTAATTCAGTCTTCTGTCTTCTATACTCCTTCCACCCTGCCCAACACCTCAGTATTTTAAAGCAAGTCTTACACATAGTTCATTTAAGTATTTGGTATATATTTCTAATCATAGAAAATTTAAGTGCCTCCAAGAGGATATAAAATATGCTACTTAGGAGGGTTAACATTTTATGTATTTTACATTCATAAGCTATTCAGCAGAAACTTAAAATTTTTTTTATTGATTTCTTCTTTCTATCCGTTTTCAGAGTGAAACCCTTCTCTTTGATTCTGATATGTTTTGTACCGTGATTACATTACATCTAGGAAGCTGGCGTTGGAAACGCTTCAGATGGATAAGCTCTGCTGTGTCCTGCACGTCAGACTTGAAGCATCCGTGATTGATGGCTGCACCTCTCCCTCTAAGCCTCTCGGTGTATTTGCATGTACATGCTTTAGTGCTGATGGACATCCTTTATGGCCTTGTTAGAAAAATGAGAAAGCGATATTTGTAGTTCAGCTATCTTACTGTTTGGGATGGAATGCGAAATCGTGTAGTCCCCTCACCCCCTCCTAACTACCCCAAGTGTGTTGTTTAAAAACGAAGAATCTACCCTGTCTTGAAACTTGGTCCCTCTGACACAGTTATGGAATAAAATCTCTGATGTTGGCTTCTAAACAGTGTTCACATGGCAGAGTTGATGAAGTTAGAACATTAATACTACAAATAGGCATTATAGGACCTTTTGGAAATAAGGGAAGTTGCTGTCCCTGGAGGCAGAAAGGTTATAGGAAAGGTTGGCTGAAATGAGAAAAAGAACTAGCTGAGAGTGGAGCTCTGAGCATCTCCTTGATTGTGGACCTGTTGTCACTGAATAAAAGATTATATTGTTTTTTATGTGGGGCAGTACAGGGAATGCTGATGGTTTAACACAGCAGAACAAAAAAGAAAAACCCCTTTCAGATTCATCTTCCTATTCTTCTGAAGAATTTCTAACTTAATGTGATATAATCAGTTATAATTTGGTACACCAGTTCCAATGAAGTTTCCTGCCATTTATGTGAGATCATTTGAAATGCCCCAAAGTAATTGTTATTAGGGACCCCCTCCTACCTCCTTACTCCGTCCCCCATTTTCCTGGAAACTTCTTAACCAAAAGGACAGTCTAGACACTTCTGTCAGCCTTATCTTGGTCAGGAAAGCAAATTAAATGTTGCTAGTGCTTTGTTGCTTTAGCTCTTCCCTTTTATGGTAAAAATTTTTTTGTTTTGCTTTTTTAAAATCTGAATTTTCATTTAGCATTTTCCTTCTAGCATGCAGGACAGTGCAGTGCCCTTTCTGAGCAGGATAAAGATTATAATACGGTGTGCATTCTGAATGGCAAGATTAAAAAACTAGAATTAACCCTTTCATCCTGGGGTGCATCTTTCACGTGGTCACGTTTCGTAAATCAGTTTATGGGAGAAATTCAGCGCATCTGAAGTAATCTCAGAAGCGCTCCTGCCCCATCAAATAAGCCCTCGGCAGGCTTTGGTTACGGGTTGACCACTATCAGATGACAGGTAGTAGTCACCGAAGCTTTATCTGTGTAGAGAATAAAAGGCCTGTGTATCTTAGAAAATAAAGGAAGCCAAGACTGTGTCCTGCCCCCACTTTTAGTTCTTCATCTGAGCGTGATCTAGCCAAAGCCGGTAGCTACTGAGGGGCTCAGGAAAGTGAGAAATAGTCTTCTGAGAAGAGCCTGCCCCCAACAGGCAGTAAGAGCTTGTGGAATTCAGCAACAGTCACTCAGTCTGTCCCAGAATGAGGATGCCTGGGCACATATTGGCCCTCAATAATTATTTGCAAATGATTAAAAGATCAGAAAAAAAAAAAAAAAAAGATCAGATACCTTGATTTCCCTGTCTGAGAAATAGGAGTGACCATCCACCTTTCAAAGAACCACACCCAGAACGATGGCACCTCTGTGAAAAAGAGAGTTATCTGTTACTCACTTTGCTTTGACTTTTTTCTTTAGTATCATGTTCTGTGGAGTTGTAACCAAAAAATCACTCCAAAAAAGATGTTTTAAAAACCTTGTTTACTTCCCCCTGCTTTTTCCTACAATTCCTCTTTGTCTCAAATTTCCAAGGCCACAGAATTGTTAGTCTCTTTAAAAAAATAAATCTGGAAGTAATCCTCAGAAAAATCTGTGATGATTGAAATATATAACAGATAAATTTGTAGTTTGCTCCTTTTATGAAAAGGACTGTGAGGTTTATAAGGGATGGCTGTGCGAGATTGCTTCAGGTAGCTAGAGGGCTCCATGTGCTGTTGTCTCCTATAGGGACACCTAAAATTGGAGGGACCATTTCACCCAGTATCATTCGTAGCAAAATGTTTGGTATTATGACCGAAAAAACATATACTCTATGTAAGATGGCTTGCCCGGCCTGCACAGGCTCAGAGTTTTTGTGACTACAGAACTTGATAGGACTATTTTAAAAAACATTGTGGAAAGTGTTTTTGGGGGCCAGCCTGGTGGCGTAGTGGTTAAAATTGCCCGCCCCACTTCTGTGGCCCGGGTTCGAAGGTTTGGATCCCAGGTGTGGACTGAGCGCCGCTCATCAAGCTGCTCCTTGGCGGCATCCCACATAAAATACAGGAAGATGGGCACAGATATTAGCTCAGCACCAATCTTCCTCACACACACACACATACACACGCGTGCGCACAGATGGAATGACAGCTCACCAAGTTCCCAGTTTCTCTCTTTGAAGCCCCCCTAAATGAATTGGATGGTGATACTGTTGTACTTGGGGTAGAGGTGGGAGGCAACTTGTACATCAAAGAGAATTTGGTATCCATCAACCAGTTTATGAGCGACACTGTACTATTCTATCAGCATATAGCAAGCAGAAATCTTTTAGGAGCGTAGAACTTGTAATGCTTTTTATTTCCTTTCTAAACTAGGTAGCTGTAGAAAGTTGTACAGAATATAGTGAAGTACCATAAGACTCTGGAGCCACCCTGCCTTTGCTGTTACTGGCTCTGCTGCTTTAGGCAAATTACTTAACCTCTCTCTGCCTTTCTCGCTCTTTTTTTTTTCCTCTGTGAAGTAGTTTAGTGATAGTATCCCGACTCCTAAGGTCTTTGTGAGGCTTGAATGAGAATGCGTGCTAAAGGTAAATCTAAGTGTTCAAGAAACTAACCATTTTTATTTTATGTGTACTAAAGAGATTTGGATAGGAGTTTATGGGTAGAGGAAAATGGAACTGAAAAAGACAACTGTAGGTAAAAACAAAAGTGTTGTAAGTAAATTTATATACACTTGCATTTTCTTTTTTTGTATCTGGCTTTGCAGTTGAGGGTGACGAGGAATAAGGCCAGCCGTGAGGACATCCCATGGAAAATTACTAAAATAGTTATGTTTTGAGGTTTAAAGAAGTGAGAAAGCCTCAGTGAAGTCTGAGCTACCTCCTTGCTCACATTTCAAGGAGGTCTCCACTTTCCCAGTTTAAAATAGGAATAATATTTTCCACAGGCTTAAAATGTGCTGGGTGCATCTCCAAGATCACCGTGCCATGTTGTCCTTTGTGGAAGGACTTACTTGGTCCTGCACCCTGGAATGCGATTCCCCTTCTAAGGCCTTCTGTGCTGTGTGGTAACCACAGAGAATGGGTCTACCTGTCACTGTCATTTCTGAGTTTTAATTTTGTGCCACTGATGGGAAGCAAACAGTAGTATTTGGGTGTTGCCTTTATTCTGTACTTGTGTCACACTTGAACACACTCATGTCCCTGTCTCCATATCTTCCTGGATTCAGACCTACGGAGCATCGCACACCATGCATAGCTCCTGCCCTCTAATCAATTTTTTGCAAACTGAAATCAGCATGATGGTTTTCTGGCCAAACAACAAAATGCAATTTTAAAGTACTCAATTTAGCTATTTTTGGGCTGTAGCAAAGTGACACAGTTGGCTGCTGAAATCTAGCAACTAAAAAAGAAGAAATGAAAGCATAGTTCATGGAATATGTAACACTTCCATGTAAGAAAATAGGACAACTGGTCTTATTTTTGGGTCTGTGATACTATTTTTCCAGCGAGGAGAGTGAAGCGGGTTGCCAGTTGATATCACAGTGGGGATACTTTTGAGGAATTCGTACCGGTTATACGAATCCGAGAGATATTTGAATTCTCAGACCATCGCATCCTCATGAATTCCACAGTGCGCTTAAATCAGATAAATGCCATCAGTTTGGAATAATTTTGGATAGGAGACACAGCCATGAACAATTTACCAAATATAAAAGCAAAGACCAGATTAGGGAGGAAATGTCATTGACTTTTTGAGAGTCATGTTCGTCACGAATTGTCAGAAGGATTTATCTGCAAAGCAGTTGTTAATTATAAATGAGTTTTGTTCATTTAAAAAAAATCACTTTCCTGAAGTGTTTGGATTCTGTGAGTGTGGAGGCTAAGAGGCAGCTCTTGGTCTTGTCTATGTCACTGGGTATCTGGGCTGCCTGGGGTGAATTACCCAACATGTTGTGGAAAGTGGGGTTGGGTGCTGTTGGTGACCTGGGAGTCCCAAGTATACATACCTCTGATTCAGGAACCACATGAGCACCCCAGAGGCCCGGGTTGAAATTCTTCATCTGTTGCAGCGGTGTTACCTTGGGCAAATGGGCCTGGAGTTTTAATCTCTAAAATAGGAACAATGGTTTTACTAGCCCACGCTCACCAGGTGTTTGCCATTATCTAGGCGCTGTGCCTGAGTTGTTTATACGCCTTTAATCCTCCCTGGAAGTGGAAACTATGAATATCCCCACTTTAGGATGAGGAAACTAAAACTGAAGGAGGTTGTCAGTTGTCCAAGGTCACCCCCGTAGTAAGTGGGGGTGGCTCTCATATTTCCCATCATTTCTCAGGATAATTTTGAATTTCAGAGTGCTTGCTGTTTTGTGGAAAGCTGTTCTTCCTAATTGCACAGGAAGGCCAATTACAGGACTGACCCAGCCTTGCTTATTTTACCCTACTTTTCCCATATAGGCGAGTACCTAAATGCTGGGGGAAATAAAGGTGTCTTCCTGTATTTGCTATAATTAAATAAGGAAGTAATGCAATTAGTATAGGATTTTATTTGGTTACATTGAAGAGATGACCTTTCAGCAAATTAGTTTAGCTTCTGAATAAGCTGATAATAACTGTGGATAGAGTGAGTTTGTTGGTGGTGAGTTTTTTTAACTGCTCTTCAAAATGATCTAGATTGATTTAGTTTATAATTTGAGAACTTCGGGGGGTTGAATATGGTTACATCATAATAATGTGATATTATTATTATTATCCCGTATATCATTTAAGTGTGGGCTGCTGGCTCTGAATCACAGTTTCAGGAGTTGTACTTGGCAAGAGATGGTTTGGGTTCTGGACTTTTTCCTCTAGAGTTTAGAACTAGCCGTGGGAGGCAGCCAAGGCAGCTGTGGGATCTGGGCAAGACCCTCAGTTTCTTTGGGGTTGTTTTCCTCACCCTTCACTGAATGGCTTCTAAAATTCTTCTGCAATATTGGAGATTGTTGATTCCAGACTGGGCAGTTCGGAAGGGTTGGGACCTTTCTGCAGTATGCAAGTCAGATGCCCAGTGCGTATTACATTGTGACTTGTGAGGTGTCCTCGTTAACTTGCTCTGAGAGTTTGCTTCCTAAGGCACTGTCTAAGAAGCCTTTCGTTATCTTGCTAACCTTGCTACAGAATATCCCAAGGGAGCAGCAACAAGGTAGTGAGTGGATCTTGGTTAATGGAATGCCTACAAGCTACTTTTTGTTTTTAAACATTAAACTTTATTTCTTCTGGAGTCCAGGTAAAAAATGGAGGTTTGCTCATGCCAGCGAAGTTATGTATGGCTTTCAAAACTGTTTAATGTGATTTATGATTGGGATAGTGGTGGCAGGATTTTTTATCTAAAAAGAAAGCACAAAGCTAGTTCTGGAGCTTACTCTGGAAAAGAGAAATGGAGAAAGGACAGTTCTTCGGATTATCTGGAGCTCTGCAGGGGGCATCTGGCCAGCAGATGCTGTTTGGCCATACAGTGTTGAAAGAAAAAATTGAATTAAAAATGGTGGCATTTCACATTCGTGCCATCAATGAGTACACCCTGAGTCCCTCTGGCATGCCAGGCACTGTTCTAGGCACTTGGGAGACAGTGGTGACCAAAACAGATGGAAACTGTGCCCTTAGGGGTACTTCCCATAAAAGTCTGGGTTATTCCTGAAAAATGGGAAGGTGGAGCAACTTAGGGCCTGTGTTCTTGCTTGGCAACAACAGTGAGCTGGAATTAAATCGTGGCTGCCCCCTGAGATGGGGCACTCACCTGGCCCACAGCGGTTATTTACAATACTCAGCTGGTCCCTGGAGGTGTTTGGCCCCTGCCCCCCCCATAGGTGATTTCTAGATTTCCACCTGAGGGACAGATTTTTGTTGTTGTTGCTTGTGTGTGGTTTTATATTACCCGGATCGGTTGTGTGTAAATGTGTATGTGTGCTCATGCACTAGTGTGCGCTTGTGTCTCAGTGGCTGATGAAATGGATTCTTTCCTGTCAGTCTGAAGCTCAGCTGTCCTGTTTGTGTCCTTTTTTGGCTCTGCAAATGGCCTGCTGCTTGGATATTTCATAACAACGTGGTGACTTCTGTCGCTGACCTAAATTGCTGTTGCCTTGTTTGATTTTGAAAAGTTGTGTTTTGAAAATCTCTCATTTGATTAAGAATTAGCTCCCTTGGTCACTTTCTTGTTACCAAACTACCCAAGAAGGGGATGACAGTGGGGGGATAGGAGAGGGGAGGCCAGTGACCAGTATAGTCAGATCTGAGTAAATTAATATTGGAGATGTCACATTAGTGGGT